TCTCTGTATCGTGTTTTAATTCAATGAAAATATCACAATGGTTTCATCGCGCTCGATGCAGGCACAGTGTTTCTTTATTATAGAAAGTACTTATCAGGATTCTACTGTATTTCCACATTGACAATATTCCACAGGTTTCCTGCTCCACTCCAAAATGCACATTACAATGAATTGGTACCAGCATCAATGTTGTGCACGACAGCTCAATAGTCCAGCTTGTCTAATAACATTTCACTTAAATGTACATTTGCCTTCAACGCCTTGGGATGTTCTCCCGATGTGAAAGACGGTATAACAAATGTAATTTATTGTTGTTGTTAATTCCACCACCTCAATAGGAGCCTATTCTGCTTTGAAATTATAATTTTCCATCATAGCTAAGACTCTGAATCTTATGGAGCCAGTCAATCATTTATTTGATGAACTCAAATTTGCATGAATTTATTCCAAAAATCGGCTGCAACTATATATTTCGTAAACTCTAGGCATTCTTCTTCCATTTGTTCTATCAGCCTGTATCGTGAGTGTGATCTGCAAAAAGCCAGGAGAATTTACTCCAATGCTTCAACTCATGCCAGTAAGCTCTGCAAACGTACAACAAAATCAAATTCAGCAATTACTGCGTTTCTTTCTGAACAAGCAGTGAAATCAGTTACATTAAGAACTTTAAGCCTCCGTAATCCTTAAGCAATTCAGCAGTCACGAGTTGGCTGCGGTAAGGTAAAATGCACCAAGCACACACTGAACATCTTCAGCCTGTTCCATCAACACTCGGACGCTTTAAAGAATAAATACATAATCTAATAATAATCCTTGCCATGAAGTGCATATCTGATTTCTATCTGGGTGATTGTTGGCCACTGAAAAAAGGACACGTGGGAGTTGCTAGTCAGCATATACTTACAGAAACATATTTAGATGTAGATGTCAGTATAAACTTAAATGTGTACAAATTAGGTCAATATATAGGGGACCACAGTCCCATCTGCCTGTTTAGGTGGTGTTGTGGCTCTGTGGGCGCCTATAAAACACACCTTATAGATCATAGTAAAATCCTGTGAATCACCCCGGACGTGAAAGACTCCACATCAAAAATGCAAGGATTAATAACACCAGGTCAGAGTCTAGGCTCAACAAGTCCATACCCAACGAGGGCAGTCTCTTTCTCAAATACAGCACTGTAACACATTCCTTAACCAGATCTCATTGTGTACAAGGGGTCTCTGTCCATGGCGTTAAAAGAAACCGGATCCCCTGCATCAAATGTACGTGTCCAACATCTGCCGGTCACCATCCAGGATGCGGAGGATAACAGTTACATTGGGACCAACCACTGCCTGACACGACACAATCTTCCCACCCCGGAAGCTTACCGTAGCTGCTCGGTGTATACTGCACTCGTTATGTGAGCGTGCTCAAATCGAGTACGGTAATAGGTGTAAATAGATCCATTTCCATCTACAAATTAACAACCCGATCGTTCAATCACATGCAAGGCAAACAATCACCGAAGAGACACATCGCAGAGTAAGAGCTAACATCGCAGACACAAACCTGGATGATACAGGAAACTGATTTGCACATTTTGGATTTAAAAACATGCAACTACAACAAGACATACTGCTGAAATATTAACGCGCGTCGATGCATCAGCAAGTTTTGAGAATGCTCAGGCAATGGATAGAAAATCCTCCGAATGGATCAACGCATCGTACAACCGCAGCAATGTGTTGACAGAACAGAACCGGTGGTTTGGGCTACAGGGTGCAATCAATGCACAATTACGCTGGGTTTACACCGCAGAGCAGATTGAAGGAGGCAGCTTGTGCTGTGGACTTTGTCCCGGTTAGTTTCGGAAGCTGTTTTCATGCTGGAGTTTGTGATTTTGTCACTGTCTGCAGATTGTCCCTGCTACTTTGGGAAGCTCCATACAGTCCCAAACGGTGGCTTTTCCCAGTGCTACCCTGTGCAGGTAGGTTGACAGTTCAGTCTGCTGTTGCGCCCAAATGTGCAAGCATTAATTTGTTGTAATTTTGGCACCTGCAGTTTTGGATAGAGGACGGCTGCTGTCACCGGAGGCAGCGGGAGAAACGGTTTAACATCTCTGGCATTACTACATCTGGGAGGCGGAATGAAGAGTAACCTCAGGATATAATGATAAGTAACGGTGAGGACAGCGGTTACTGTAAAGAAAATATCTGTTCCATAAATGGCAGTTCATATGGCCCTAAAGAGTGGAGTCCTGCAGCTTAATGGTTAGACGCTCACCTCGCAAGCGAGAGGAGCTGGGTTCGATTCGCTGGCAGGGCAAAACGTGAGGTAAGTTTCCTTACTCCACACGCCTCTGTTTACCTCGCATTAAGTAGGAACCATGTTGTTAGTCAATTGCTTGGAGGCAGCTTGATTCTTCTCTGGTCAGATGCAAGCGGAAACCCATCACCATGCTTAGGGATCCAAACCAAGCTGAGAATTCCATGCATTCCATGTACACATGGAAATCCCAGAGATAGACTGTTGGGATGGAACGCTAACTCTCTCTCTGGAGCGAAGCATCCTGCTTACCTAATTCCAGAGGGTATTAGGCACAGGTTGGCACGAGCCAAGGCTTGGGGACCCCAGAGCGTGCGTTGGCGTAACTGTTGGGAGTCTAACCAGCTAAAACCACATAGCTTACTATTTTTAAAGCACTGTCTATCCAGCAAATTTCAACAGGAAGGCAGCTTGAGAAGCATCAGCTCCAGGATAGACATGGCAGCTATAAATCACTGTCCTCCCTTCCCTCGTGGTCCATTGAAAGCTCTTTGGGGAGTCAACTGCAAACCCAAGAACTGTCAAGCCATTTTGTGATGGATCATTCTCTAATAATGGTAAAAACAGAGCCCTGATTTTGGTCTGAATGTACATACCATAGAGTGTCATTGCTCTGGCCCAAAGATCACACAATTGGTTCTGATCAGGAAAAACCTTCGGCCCATTTGATCTTTGTCCTTGCAGGACAGCAGCCCCCTACTCTCCTCCCAACACAGCATCCAACTATTTGTTTTAAAAAAAAAGTACGAATCCTGGAACCTGGCCCCAAACACCTTTCCTGTTGAGGACTTCTGCGGTTTGTAAAGCTTTTGCTTGAATTCGAGGATGTAAATCAAGCCCTCTGCTCCACCCCACAATATTGTTGGAAGTGAAGCGCAGGAGCTTGCAGTGCAACATTAAGAAACTGCGTAAGTGTCAAATATAAATCACTTTGGGACAGGCCTCCCCCAACGCAGCTCTTGATAATATCCTGCAGTTGGCTGCTGGCTTTCGCCTGCCTGTTAGCAGATTGCAGCTTTCCAGAGTTTCTTGGGACTCTATGGAGTCTGAACAGCAATGATGACAGTCCGAAATTTATGTGGTTACAAAAAAACAATTACCCTTACAGCGCACAGAAAATACAGTAACTGCGTGTTTTTCAGAAAGGAAACTCTTCACCTTTGCAACTCTGTTGAAAAGCAACGACATCAATGTAATTGGAAATCTTATTGCGGCTGCTGAGGTCTCAGCTCAAACCTTTGCCTGCCCGAATTGGAAGCAAAAGCAACTTGAATATCCAGAGAACTTGTGTTGAGATTCCTGCAGATCATAATGCGGACTGGGAAATTGGAAAAGGGCAGGTGAATAGGACTGAAAGGTTTGCTCTTAAAAGAGCCAGCACTGACACGCTGGGTATAAGACCTAGTCCTGTGTTGTAAATTTCACTGGTAGTTTACACTTATTAAGTGTACTAACAGTCATTATTAATTCGCACTTCGATCAGACATTCCTGTACGTTAGCAGTGAAAAGGTACCAATTAATTTCTAACAATGTCGTTTCGTACAACATGCCAACTTCCTCAGTTTCAATAGTAGGATAATTACATGAACGGCTCAAATGATTAATTTTGTTTCCTTTGTACCATTATCTGCTAAGGCACAAGAACAGTGTTTGTATTCAACGATCAACGAGACACATGTTAAGACCAGTTTAAAGCATACCCCTCTTTTGAACAGGTTGAACTAACTTGTCAACCAAATTTCCTTTCATACCCGACTTGCAGGCAGCACAAAGTGCCAATAAAGTGCTTTGGTTTACAAGAACACCAAACCTGTCTCAGAGACAAAAAAAAAAGTTTTTTTAAAAAGGAAAATACATAATTAGATACAGGGTACTCCCACCTTTGCCTACAAAATACAAAGTCACTACACTTTACAGTAAATCTTGTGATGGTCTTCTTTCCCTTCCCCCAACATGCAATATAAATGTAAGGGCTGTTATTATGTTATTATTAATCAGGTTAAACTGAAGGACCGGATGAGAAAAGTTTCTCACGTGGCATTTCCCTCATCCAATATAACAGTTACGTCTTCGCAGAATTCAATAAGTTCGGTCAACCGTGACCTTCCTTTCATAGATCCGTGTTGGCTGCTCTTAATTATATTCTTCTCTTTCCTGTTTCATCTCTTATTATGAAAGCATATGCAAGGTGTGAAGCATCATGTGAGGGTTAAAAAAAAAAACACCCTGAGATGTCAAACACCTATAAACAACACAGTAATGTACCGTGGTCCATATCCAAACTGGTAAGGAATCACACCTCAGAATACAGAAACAGGTTGAATCCTAAGCTTCCACCACGTACCCCTTGAGGTCAACTGCTTTTGTGAAGGTTAAACTGACCACGATGTCAAGGGTAACAGGGCTTGCAGGGAACAACCTTCCACCAGTGTACGGGAGGCACTCAAAGATGACATACAAGAACTACAATAAAAAAATGACAACCAGAATACAAAGTACATATTTCTGTATTTGTCTCTCCATCAATGTTACCGCTCAAAGCATTAACAATGCTGTCCCCTGGGGTTCCGCTTCACCGTTATTCTCAAAACCATACCGATATTTTCATTCGAGCCCAAATGACTATTTTTCCTAATTAGAAGAGCGGGTAATCAGGAGAATGAAGTGCACAGTGGGGTTAGTAACTCACTCTTTTGGAGCGTCTGGGACTTTTGGTCCTTCGATTTTCATCTTCCGCTCAACCGGTGAGTGCAGGATTTCAATGCACGACTTGATGGACTGGTTTGAGTCTTCACGGCCCACTGCAAGGGGAAAACACACAGCAATCAATATCACTGTGCAAAGATGGCAAAGGGTGAAAAAAAAATACATGAGAAAACGACACGAGAGGCGGTATTCATAGCTCAAGCCTGGTTCTACTCTGATCAGAGAAAAAGAATCACCCTCATCTCTAATGTTCAGCAAAAAAAAACATCTCTACAGACCGATTTGAGCCACTGTTGTACAACAGACGTCATATGGGTTTGCAACAAACAAAAGGTTTTCCCTTGTTTTTGTAACTCAACTCCTACCGCCGACAGAAACTACCGTCTTTCAATTAAGCCGCAATCAGTTGTGCTGTGACTTACTCAGTACCTTATCCACACTTAATTTGAAATTACGTTACGCATCGACCACAACATTTTTATGAGCAAACAAAATGCAAGCAGGCTGTTAATAAATAGTGAAACACAATATTATGAGACAGACTGAGAAGTTGTTTTCTTTTTAAAGTCAGCTCGGCACAGTTTAGTACTGTGAATAAATTGAAATGCCACAATGAAGTGTTATATACTCAGTGCTGAGAATACCAAGCCAATAATTCTCGTCCAGATAGCAATGGGCTGTGATGTTGGGTACTGCTCTATTCTACAAAGGGAAATTAAAATAATGGCAAGAACTGGCTAAGCACACTGATACTTCACCTAATAATAATAATAATAATAATCCTTGCATTTGATATAGCGCTTTTTCGCGTCTTCTAGACGTCTCAAAGCACTTCACAGAATATATTATAAAGTGAATTGACTGTATATATTTTGTGGGCGAAATGCAGCAGCCAATTGCGCACAGCAGTGCCCCAGAAACAGTCATGGATTGAGTGACCAATTTTTCTTATTATTGTTTATTTTTTCTTGAGGGATCATTATCAGGTGCACGGAGATTCCCTGCCTCCATTGACTTGTCCATCCCTCCATGTTCTATCTTTGCCAAACATGTCACCTTGGATTCAGTTCAGCTCCAAGAAAACCTCATCTACCTCCTCTCCCCCAGGATGATGGTTACTAGTTCGTCAGGGAATTAGATATCAATGTGTGAGGAAAATACATTAAAGGGCATGAGAAAAGACCATGGTAATGGAGTTCACAAGAATGACCTGGTTGACGAAGGCCTTTAAGTCCATCTGATCTCATCCCACCCTACTGTCCTCCCAACCAGCATCTAGCTGCTTTATAAACAAATTCAGTGGTCTGGTCTTAATCACCTTTTCTGGCAAAAATTGAAGTAGCTTGTTCCAGTGGCACGCTCATAGCAAAACAGACAACTTATCAAATGGACCAAATTATCTCCTCCTGTGCGGTAAACGTTATGCGACTATGAATTGTTTTGGTGTGTTGTCGATCAGAAGCTGCAGAATGTCATTGATGGTTGTTCCTAATCAATATTATTAAAACGTCCACATGCCTATGCAAAGCAGAAGCACATGCAAAACCATTTAAGAGCAAGCCAGAATCACAGCGTCTTCACACACAGAACCATCTGCCTTTTAAGACCCTTCACGGACTTGTGAGGAAAGGTGAACGGCATCAAACTCTTGGCTACCAAATTACACGTTTGGTACAAATCCCCCGATACAAAAAATATGACACAGGCACTCCCAAGGCCAGTGATTCTGGCAGCTCAGCTCATCAAAGGAAAAGGAATCTGCTGCAATGTGCATCTTCATTATCAGCCTCGCTCAGAAGCTCACTTATAAAAACGGAGCACATTCTGTGGACCGAGAGTGCATGCAGACCCCATGGTGCTAACAACCATACTTGAGGCTATTTCGGTAATCACATAAGGAAGAACCCATTTGTTTCCAAGTAGCCTTGGCTCCCGCTGAGCTGATAAGAGACAAGGATAAAGGGCTTACAATGAAAGACCATGGCTTCTGCTCTTCACACTTATTCTGATGCATTGTGTGAGGGAACGCGCAGCCAGAGATGCCCACTGCTGTACATTTACCACCCTTATTAGGCCTTGCTCAAATGTTGGGCTCGCGCCTGCAAGCGACCTGGAGTAGTTCGCGAGCAATTGCTAAGATAATAATATTTTGGGTTCTATAATAGTGTCGCATTTATATGGCGCCTCTCACAGAGGTTTGCACCCCACAGCGCTTGACAGTGGTGGAGCACAACACCAAGGAGGAGCCAAGAATGAGGGACAGAGGAAGAGCGTTCCAGAGTTTCGGGGCGTAGTGGCCAAAAGCCCGATCCACCAATCGACTAGCAACCGGGTTCCTGCTTACTGCTGGGTAAACAGGAGCGTGTGGAGTAAGGAAACTTGCCCGACGTTTCGGCCTGCTGGGAATCGAACCCAGGTCTCTCACTTGCGAGGCGAGTGCTCTAACCACTGAGCAACAGGACTCCACTACAAACGAAAGCGACATTAAGTTCCCGGCCACAACTTAATTTGGCTTTTCACTTCTCTCGGTGGCTCGTGGCCTCACCTCCGGCACTTCTCCCGAACAATCACGTACCTCTCAACGGCACCCCTCAATTTTCTGCAAAACCAGCGAATTTCCCTGCGCGTTGGGAAAGGTTTCCGCAATTTTCTGTTGGCCCTGCTTACGACACACGCTCCCAGAGGGACACAAAAACAGGAATAGGCATTCAGCCCTTTAAGCGTGCCACACAAAAAAAANTATATTTCGTGGCACCTTTCTATTATCAATTCTTTGCCTTTTCTCCCCATATCCCACTGAATATAATAACATGCAAAATACCTGCGCATCTCCTCCCGAAGTATGGACAACATTCTATAACATCCTGGGACAGTACGTCCCACGTTCTCTCAAGCGTTTGTGTGAAGAAATATTTTCTTGATTCACATTTAAGGGTTTTAGCTCCAATTATAACAAACATTGAGTCTGAACAAAATCCTCAAGATCAGATGGTGGCCAATTCTCAATATAAGTACAGTAGCATATTGCTGCGTTATCTTCTATAACTTGTGATAAAGCCAATCATTCATTGAGCTTTCTGTTTGGCTCCAAACTAGGAAGCATCACTGAGGATCATCGATAATGCTCATCCTGTGCTTCAGATGTAATATCTTTTAAAGGTTATATCCAGTACAGTATCTCCCCTTCCATCAGGTCGAAGACAGAAAAGATCCCACCGAGGCTGAAAGGAGCAGGCGCAGACAAGATAAATCACAAATAATGATTAAGTGGTGTTAAACCTGGGTATTAAAGGCCTTTTAAGGTATTAAAGATTGAATGAGGAAAAGGACACCAGATATAAAGGGGTTTGCAGTCTTTAGGTCCTGGGGAGAAAATAAGCTGGTCACTGCAAAAGGAAAAGAATATTTGGATTTGCTTTAAGTTTAAGTTAATAGGTTAACAGCATAGACTGAATGAGTCAGACGTCCTCTTCCTGTTCTGTAATTTCTACAATCACTACTCAAAGTACCGCACTATGAGAAAGAGCGGCAACATATTCTTTCTGTTTTTGCTGCTTTTGCTGTCTTTGCATTTTGAATACATTTCTGAAGATCGACCCAGGAGAGCATTTGAACTATTAATAATCCTTACATTTGATAATCCTTACATTTGGGTTTGCGCCTTTCGCGTCAGGAGGATGTCTCAAAGCACTGCACAGGATTTATTGCAAAGTGTAATGACTGTGTATTTGTAGGCGTTTAGTGTGTAGCAAGAAAACACCAATCCTGCACTTTACCGATCAGGGACCTCTTATCCAAGAGACCTGAAGTCGCAAAGAAAATATTTAGCAAGTGCGGCAGTAACAACAACATGTAGAAACCTAAAATAACCCTCGCAAGCCCCCCCAAAAAATATAACAAGCTGAACAAAAAGAAACTACGTGCGTGTCTGAAGATTGGGAGCCACTGTGCCGGCTGAAACATTGTGTTTCAACATTAATATGAATTGACAGGGATATAAGTGGACTGCAGGTCAGACACAAGTCGAACATGTCACGTTGGTTGAGGCCTCATCACTGCTACTGTTGATTCGGAGAGTTCAATGATAATGTCATTGCCAATGCCCTCTAAGTTGGATAGAAACAAAAATCGGATTGCTATGCGCTCAGGAGCATCCACTGAAGTAAACAAGAGATCAAGGAGAGTTATTTATGAAGGGAAAATGTAAGGAAGCATGTTGATACTCGTCCGCTTCTCGGTATCCTTCGTTCTAGCTAACAGTACATGTTTCACAGCGCTCAAAAGCAACTGCGCACGAACCAGGGATACAACACACTATAAAGAGCCTATACCACTGAAACATCTCAAAAAGCTTACCTGTAATTAACCTGTCGTTACGTGTAGCGCACGTGTAACTGTAGGATAACCAGCGACGACTTGCACACGCTTTTCCGCACAGCCTTGAAGCGTACGAACAATTTTGCTGCAGAATTGTCAGCCAGGATACCGAGAGCAACTCGCTTCTGGGAGTAACGGACCTTGGGATCAACTCTCCGTTATTAAGACGGTAATGAGGCAACTTTGGTTGAAGGCTGATGTTAACTCTCAAGTTGCTTTACATCACTGCTATAACAGTAGCTAATATTCATTAATTGTATATGGTATATAATATATAGGGTATAATAAACATTGCCAGAATGTCCAGTGTGCCCAGAGTACAATAGTGACTGTTATTCTCTGTCCTACGGCATAGGTATTAAGGCAGTGCCAGATTATCAGATGGAAGTTTCTCTCAGTTTCTTGGCCAGCCATCCACCAAATAAAATTAGTCATTCACTTCATGTCCGTCTGTGGGATATGGCTGTGGGCAAATTAACCACTGGGTTCAGCTGCAAGATACACTGTCACTTCACCCTCACAGTAAGTCCTGCGAAGCATTCTCTTGATATGAAAGGCAATATATTAAATGCAAGGATTATCATTAAGTGGATGCAAATTCAATCAGAACTTCCACTGAATTCAAATCTGATCATCAGTAAATTCACAGACAAAAGCACTCAGAAGAATTTCAACGCAATGCAGTAACCGATGCTCCTGAAACCCAGCGAAAGGAAAG